CCTGGCCAACAATCCCCCCAGTAAAATTGGTCGCTCTCATTCATGGCTGTTTGTGGGATATTGCTGTGTGCAAATTAGTTCCAGCATTCACCCACAAAAACAGTCGCTGCACCTTACAGTAGTATATCCTGTGAAGCGATTTGAGATATTCTCTCAATGTGGAAGATGCTGTACCAAATGTAAGGAGTGTTATTACATTGAGGTGGATATAAAAGGACAGCTCCACCGCTGCTGTTTCAAAAAAGCTCTAGTTTTTTTTCTCCTGCCTTATCCTGGCTTATTTTTCTTTCTTCCTTATCCAAATTCACCACATAAATTCAAATGCATTCGCTGCTCGTCTTAATGATAATATATAATAATGCTCGCATTTGATATACACTTCATCAAGTTGGTGAGACATCTCTGAGCGCTTCAACAGAATATACTATAAAGTCAATTGACTATATTTGTGGGCGAAAGAAGCAGCCAATTGCGCACAGCAGTGTCCCACAAACAGTCGTGGATTGAGTGACCAAATTATTATTATATTTTTTTGAAGTTATTATGTGCCCCGGAAAGGAATCTGCCCCATTGACTAACAGCCGGGTTCCTATTTACAGAGGTGTGTGGAGTAAGGAAACTTGACTAAGGTTTTGACCCGCCTATGAATCGAACCCGGATCCTCTCGCTTGCGAGGCAAGTGCTCTAACCACTATGCTGGACTCTTATTGTTGTTTGTGGGATGTTCGCATTTGCCTATGTAACAAAATTCACTTTGTTTCTGATCAATTGTACTTTGTAAAGTTCTTTAACTAGAATTTCCATGCATAGCTAGAATTTGTGGAACTCTTATTTGGTTTGGATACTCACTAAGCATAGTGTCAGACACCTGGCTGACCAAAAAAAACACACTGTGAGACATTTATTTCATGAATGGTGCTTTATAAGTGCAAGTTAAAATGCTGAAATGAAGCAAAACCGGAGTATCAAAAAGGCCTTAAAATTACTCAAACAATGATTTTCTCTTTATTTTATAACAATAATAATATTATAATAATCCTTGCATTTGATGTAGCACCTTATAAACGTGAAAGGCGCTATACAAATGTAATTTTGTTGTTGTTATCACATCATGGAGAATATACTGTAATGTGGATCGACTGTGTATTTGTATGGAAACGTGCCAGCCATTTGCGCAGAGCAGTGTCCCAGAAACAGTCTTGGATTGAATGACCAATTTTTTTTTTGAGGGATCATTACCCCCCCGGAAAGCGATCTGCCAAGTGACAACCTGGTTCCTATTTACTGCGAGGTAAACAGAGGCATGTGTAGTAAGTAAGGAAACTTGTCTAAGGTTTCACCAATCCTGCGAATCAAATCCACGTCCTCTGGCTTGGGAGGCGACTGTGTTAACCACTATCTTATGGGACTCCACATTTTATTTTTGGATTCAGCTTTCTCACTCCTTGTTCCTACTCCTTTCCTCATCTATATGCTCCCTCTGGGCGATGTCATCCACAAACACGGGGTAAACTTCCTCACGCATGCAGATGACACATAAATCTAAGCTGACTCCTCCAGCATCAACTCCAGGTCCGCCAATGTTCTATCAGCTTGTCTGGCAGACATCAAGGCCTGGATGAGTGTAAACTTTCTGCAGCTGAATGTGGACAAGACGGAAGCCGTACTTTTTGGCTCCATCAACGTCTTCACTCCTGCGGATCTGAACTCCTCAACCTCCCTGGGCTCTCCCTCAGACTTACTGAACCAGTGCGCAATCTAGGCGTCCGGTTCGACCCCCAGCTGTCCTTCCTCCCCCACATCCGGTCCCTGACCAGGATCACCTTCCTCCAATTCCACCATATTGCCCTCCTCCAACCGAACCTTACACCAAATGCAGCCGAACCTCTTGTGCATGCGGTTGTCACCTTCTGCCTGGATTATTCAAACGCACTCCTCGCCGGTCTCCCCATCTCCACTATTCAAAAGTTCCAGCTCATTCAGAACTCTACTGCCCACATAATGACCCGGATCAACCTACGTACCCCCATCTCACCGGTTCTGGTCAGGCTCCACTGGCTCCCCATCACCAAATGGATCAACTTCCAAGATCCTCACACTCATGTTCAAATCTATTCACTCTCTGGCACCTCCCTACCTCTCCAACCTCCTCACTCTCCAATTCACCACCCGGTGCCTTTGCTCGACTGGCACCGGCCTCTTACTCGTTCCTCGTACCCTCTGCTGTACCTTTGGAGGTCGCGCTTTCAGCCACTACACCCTCAAACTCTGGAACACTCCCTCAATCCCCCCGCCTTGCCCCCTCTCTCTCCTTTTTCAAGTCCCGTCTGAAAACCTTCCCTTTCGACAGTGCTTACGTTCACCTTCCCACCCCCACTGGCTCGGAGTCAGGCTCCGCCACTGTTAAGTGCTCTGAGACGCTACCCTGCATGGAGGGCGCTATATAAGTGTAAGTTGTTGTTGCGACGTGCCTGCCTGTGTGGCTCACTCCATCTTTTTTTACCAAAGAAAGATAAAAGATAGACTTGTCACAGTGACTCTCTAAATCCAGGGATTTAAATTTGTGATAGTAAGTAAGCAGCAGACAGAAGCTGTTCTAAAGGACAAGACGAGAAGTGGTTCTTCTGTATTTGTCAATCCATTCAATTAATAATAATCCTTGTATTTAAGGGCCTTTTCTTTGTAGCTCTGAAGGCTGAGAAGGGATAATAATAATCCTCACATTTGATATAGTGCTTTTATCATGTCGTCGAGACATTTCGAAGCACTTCATGGGCTATACTGTAAAGTGGATTGACTATAGTTTGTGGGTGAAATTGTGACAGAGGTATATAAAATAATGGGAAGTTTCATAAATAATAATCTGTGCATTTGATATAGCGCCTTATCATGTCGTTGAGAAGTTTCAAAGCGCTCCACAGAATATCCTATAAAGTGAATTGACTGTATATTTTGTAAGCAATTGTGCACAGCAGTGTCCCACAAACAGTCGTGGATTGAGTGTCCAAATTAAGATTATTACTCCCAGAAAAGCGATCTGCCAATCGATTTAACAACTGTGTTCCAACGTACTGCTCGTTAAACAGAGGGGTGTGGATTAAGGAAACTTGTCTAAGGTTTCATCCTGCCCGAGAATTGAACCCAGGTCCTCTCGCTTGCGAGGCGAGTGCTCTAACCAATATGCCACAGGACTCCATTCAGGAGTGAGAATGCTACCGACTCCACAAGACTGATGGCATTTTTACGAGCAATGATAAGGCTCAAATACCAGGGGACACGAGTTTAGACTTGGGACCAGAGGTGGAACTCCTGTATTTTTTCACTCACGGGATAATAAACTTGTGAAATGAGTTATCGGATCACACATTGGAGCAAGCAATTTAATGGGTTCAAGAGGCAGATGGATGACTTTCTGTAGAGAGTGAAAGGGGACTTCTGGATGTGGCAAGTCGATGAAATCAGTGAACAAGGGAGGGGGGACGGTCGGATTGGGTCTCCTAGCTTTGTCTCGATGATCCAAGATTTTATGTGATTAATTACTGATCGTAACACTACTTAGTGTTAGGTAAACTGCTGCTAAGTGCTCTGAGATGCCTGTGTGGTGGGTGCTATTGGTATATAAGTGCAAGTTGTTGTTGTAAACAGAAGCATATGGAGTAGGGAAACTTGCCTAAGATTTCACCCTGCCCTCTCGCTTGCAGGTGAATGCTCTTGACCAATATGCTACAGGACTCCACGTCTGCGTACTACTGGTGTGTCAGTCTTGCTCACTCTCGTCTCTTGAGTGGGAAGTTGGCGATTCAAGCTCCATGTTGGGACGTGTAACTAGTATAGCATATCGTTACATTCCAGTGTAATTCTGGGGAAGAACAGCTTTCAACCTGCTTTCCATCTGCTTGTTGTTTTGGTGGATATAATAACAATCCTTGCATTTGACACGGCACCTTTCAGGTCTGGAGGACATCTCAAAGCGGGCACAGGATATACTGTAAAGTGTAGTGACAATATTTTTAGGTGAACCCATTAGCAAATCTGCACACACAGCAAGTCCCACAAACAGCCATTGAGTGAATGCCCTGCCTGGGAAATCGAACCCAGGTCCCCTTGCTTGCGAGGCGGATAATCTAAGCGATATTTCTATGATCGCACGACAATATTTCATGACAATTTCAGTAGACGTGATTTTCTCCTGGTGTCCTGGTCAACAGGCCCCCAGATCAAGGAACCCTGTAGAATAGTGGTTCGCGTGCTCGCCGCACAAGCAAGAGCACCCGGTTTTGATTCCTGGGCAGGACTAAACCTTAAGCAAGTTTCCTTACTCCACACGCCTTTGTTTACCTGGCAGTAAGTAGTATCCCAGTTGCTAGTAAATTGGAGGAGCGCTTTCCGGGCATAATAATACCTTCCAAAAATAAATGAATTAATAATAATTTAGTCACTCAATCCATGACTCTTTGTGGGACACTGGTGTGCGCAATTGGCTGCTGCGTTCGACCACATAATACAGCCAATCCACTTTACAGTATATTTTGTGAAATGCTTTGAGACGTCTCAATGATGTGATAAGGCGCTATATCAAATTTAATGGTCATTCTTATTAATAGTAATCCTTACATTTGAACACTAGATTGGACAGTAATGTCTGATTGAGCTGTTTTGACCCGATAAAGCTCCCAAAAAATCAGTGGAAGCGTCTCACAAGTGCTTCACTGGCAATTGCCGTTAAGTGCAGTGATTGTGTATTTGTAGGAAAGAAAAGAGAAGGGAGTTTCTCTCTCCCAGTGTCCTGGCCAACAATCCACCAAAGAAAATATTGGTCATTCATTCCATGGCTGTTTGTGGGACATTGCTGTGTGCAACTGGCTGCTGGATTTTCGCCCACAAAAATACACAATCACTGCGCTTTTCAATATGTCCTGTGAAGCACTTTCTCAACAATGGGATAAGCTGCTATATCAAAATGTAATGACTATTATTATATTTTCTCATTTTCTTTGCAGGAAGCAGCTTCAAGCATAAAGCGTGAATCGTGAAAAAGACGCGACTGTACAATGGAGAGTAGGAGGACGGATCCTGAGGTCAGTGAAAATAGGCCGTCTGCAGACTCCGTCTCGGTCTCCTCCCTGAAGCTGAATGGCTGCAGCTCCGAGTTCGGGTCGGACGATGAAGATGAGGTGCTGGACTGTGACGGGGGAGACCTGGAATTAAATCCCTTCGATGGGCTGCCTTTTTCATCGCGTTACTACCAACTGCTAAAACAGAGAAAGGAGCTGTCTGTCTGGGGCATCAAGTCCAGGTTCATGGAAAATCTGGTGAACAACAATGTGGTGCTGGTGTCTGGCCAGCTGGGATGTGGCAAAAGCACTCAGGTCCGTGTCGGAGTGATCTTTTCACTATCGCTAAACGTCCTGCGTAGCGCTCCTGAGCGGCGGCTCGCACTGCTTCAAGCCGCACATCGGGACTCACACAGTCTAAGTGGACAGAATGCTGCGTTATCAGAGGCACTGTCCTTCAGATCAGACGTTAAACTGTCTGCGCCTATTCAGCAGACGTTAATGGTCTCATGGCGCTTTTCGAAAGGAGAAGGGAGTTTCTCTCTCCCAGTGTCCTGGCTCACAATCCCCCGGATGTAATAATAATAATCCTTGTATTTGATATAGTGCTTTTCATGTCTTCTAGACATCTCAAAGCACTTCACAAAATATGCTGTAAAGTGAATTGACTATATCTGTGGGCAAAACGCAGCAGCCAATTGCGCACAGCAGTGTCCCACAAACAGTTGTGGATTGAAAATGATCAATTTATTATTGTTTTTGTTTTTTGGAGGGATTATTATTAGGTGTGTGGAGTAAGGAAACTTGCCCAATTGGGCATTCACTTCATGGCTGTGCGTGAGACAATGCCTTGGGTCATTCCTGTTGTGTTTGCCCACAGTCACTACTTTATAGTAAAGTAATCCGGGAAGTGCTTTTAGATGTCTTGATGACGTAACAAGGGGCTATGCCAAACAAAGATTCCAAATGTATCACAGATATCAACTGAGTGACATTGATTTATATGACTTTGTTGTGTTTCCTGGTTAGATATCGCAGTGGTGTGCTGAGTATGCCCTGTCAGTACAGTACCAGCACGGCAATGTGGTCTGCACCCAGCCACACAGTCTGGCTGCCATCTGCCTGGCTCAACGAGTAGCCGATGAACTGGACTTAAACTTGGGTCACGAGATTGGATACCGGGTCCCTTACGAAGAGTGTTGCACATCAGAAACTATTCTCAGGTCAGTTGCACATGCGTGGGTATGGGTGTGTGTTAATAATAAGTTCACAAAATACAGTCATTTCAATTTACAGTATATTCTTTGAAGTGCTTTTGAGACGTCCCAACGACGTGATAAGGCGCTATATCGAATGTAAGGATTATTATTACAGTAAACTCCTGATAACTCATCACTCCAGGGAAAGGGCGCAATGATAAGTTATCAGGAGCGGAAAATTAGGCATATGTATAAATACATGAATAAATGCGGTCGGGATATTGACAGCACAATGACTTAGTGGTAGTAACAAGTTAACCCAGTTTAATTGATTGGTGGATTGTTTTCCGGAGGTAATACTCCCTTCCCCCACCCAAAAAAATTAATAATTATTTGGACACCAAATCCATGACCGTTTGTGGGACAATGCTGGGTGCAATTGGCTGCTGCATTTCACCCAAAAACTATGCAGTCATTACACTTTACAATATATTCTGTGAAGCGCTTTGAGACATCTCAATGATGTGATAAGGCGCTGTTTCAAATGCAAGGATTATTATTGTTATTATTATAAACTGCTCTGGTTTCCTTGCATTGTATTCAATAGTGAAGAGTTTAGTGTTCCAGCCCTCTGTCCTTGTACCCAATATGTGTAGGGAAAGCTGTGCAGTTGGTACAGTGTGTCCCTGAACACACCTTTGATCCAATTCCAAGTGACTGCGCTTTCCTTTGGTAAAAATAAAAGAATGAATTGGCGATGCAAGTTTCTGGTTTATGATGTGATGTGGTCAGGACGCACCTAAAGTATTGTGTATGCTTTTGGTCACCGTGACATAAAGGAGCCAAGCCCTGGAGGCAGTGTAGAGGAGAGCGACCAGGAAGATCCCTGGTTTTAGGGGAATGAGCTATGAGCAACTATTAGACAAGCTTGGGCTCTTCAGTCTTGAGAGTAGATGTCTCAGACAGGACCTTATAGAGGTGTACAAGATTTCAATTAGGACTGAGAAAGTAAACCCTGAACATTACTTTCAGAATTACCATATCAACAGAACAAGAAGACACGGGTTCAGAGTTGCAAAGGGCATTTTTAGGGCATTTTGGGTATTTCTTTACCCAAAGGGTAATTAACGACTGGAATAGGGTTATCAGGAAGGCTGGTTGAGGCCAGAACACTGGGACTCATTTATAAAACAGGTTGATGCTGTGTTGGGGGGATGGTAGGGTGGGTGTTCTGGAGGGATGAGATCAGATGGGCCGAGGGGCCTGTCCAAACCAATCTCGTGAGGTCTCCTCTCACCATTCTTCTCTGTTTCAATGAAAATAGAACCCATTCCACCCAGTGATCCGCAGATGATGCACTGTTGTCTAAGCGCTATTTGATTAACATGAGCTTGGAATCTTTGTTCAGGTACTGCACAGATGACATGTTGCTGTACGAGATGATGTCCGACCCCTTGTTGCACCAGTACGGAGTTATTGTCCTCGACGATGCCCATGGGCGGACGGTAGCGACCGACGTTCTCCTGGGTTTGTTGAAAGACCTGCCCAGGCAGCGCCAGGACCTAAGGGTGGTGGTGCTGACGGTACCTTACCTGGCGGGCAGGCTGCACAGTTACTACTCTGACGTGCCTTTTGTGCAAGTGGAAGAGCCTGTGGACCTTTTGTTTCCCGTGGAAACCGTATACCGAGATGGACAGTTTAAGGACCGGGTTTCAGCCGCTGCTCAGACTGTCCTGGACATCCATAGGAAGGGAGAAGAGGGGAATATTATCGCCTTCCTGGCCAGTGAGGAGGTGGGTAAAACCTGCAGGAAGCAACTTCTTTAACTGGAATTTGAATCCAGTTGATATTTGTATGTATTATTTATAAATGATCCTCTCGTGCGGTAATAATAATAAGTCTTGCATTTGATACGCCTTATCACATCGTTCACACTTCTCGAAGCGCTTCACAGAATATATTGTAAAGTAGATTAACTATATTTTATTACCAAAAGCGAGAGGCCCCGGGTTCGATTCCTGGGTGGGGCGTGTGATTAGGCACTGTATCAAATGCAAAGATTAATATTATAACCAGAAGAATGGTTGAGGCCAGGAAGCTGGGATTCCTTATGAAACAGCTCAAGGCTACAATGAGGCGATGGCAAGATGGGTGTTCTGGAAGGATGAGTTGTACAGAGGAAACAAAATCCATTATACAAATACAGTTACTCCACACGCCTCTGTTTAGACAGCAGTAAGTAGGAACCTATTTGTCGGATCGGTTTTCTGGGTTTAATAATCCCTCAAAAAAAGTGGTCACTCAACCCACGACCATTTGTGGGACACCGTATACGTAATTGGCTGCTGTATTTCACCCACAAAATGCACCATTAATCCAGTTTACAATATATTCTGTGAAGCGCTTTGAGACGTCTCAAAGACGTGATAAAACGCCATATCAAATGCAAAGATTATTATTATAAAAATGGGGACTCAGCCATCTCCAGTGTAAAAGGAATAACACCATGCTATGTTAAATACTGTGTTTAAGCACCACAATATTCATCTGAACCGTGCTGCTGTACTGTTTAATGAACGGTGTGTTCAGCTGGAATACAGCTGTGTTACATACAATACAAATGTACATTTTCATAGCGTGTTCCATATTAGGTTGATGTCCGAAAGCGCTCAACACTGCTGGCTGGGCACCTGAGTTAAGGGAGGTGGAAAGGGCTAAAGAGGGTGGGGGTGTAGGAGATGACTAAAAGTATGGTTAGAGTGGTATTGTTTTGAGATGGACCTTCAACTCTGTTTAGGCAGCGCCATGTTCAGCTGAAATCCTGCTGTGCCATATACTGTGTTTAACCATTGCTATCATCAACAACAACTTGCATTTATATAGAGCTTCACACCAGGTAGCGTCCCAGAGCACTTAACAGTGTCGGAGTCTGACCCTGAGCCAGGGGGGGAGGAAGAGGAGAGGGAAATAATAAGTTATTATCAGTGTTTGCAGTTGTGTCTAATAGACTCCAGTATTTGGTGTATCTGCCCCCACCCTCTGGAACTCCATCCCACATTCCCTTCGCCATGTTCCCTCCCTTGCCTCCTTCAGGGCACGCCTCAAGTCCCTATTCTTTGACTGTGCCTTCAGCCACGCTCTCTGCCCTCCACCGTTACTGATCCCAATGCCCCCCCACCTGTTCGGGGCCCTAATCCCTGACTGTTCAGTGCCTTGGGATGTCCTTGTGATGCTTTACAAATGTAATTTTGTATTGTATTGATGGTGGATTTTGTTTCCTCTGTGCACCACCAGCCCAATTCATCTCGTGCTTTCAAAACACCCATCCTGTCGTCTCCTCATTATAGCATCGAGCTGTTTCATAAGGAATCCCAGCTTCCCAGAATGAGATTCAATGTGATATTGTATCAAAATGCCTTTTGTTTTTGGTCAGCCTGACACATGTGGAAAACCATCACCTTGTCCAGCTATGAACTCCCTACCCGTTAAGGCTTTGGTTTGAGGATTCTCTGCCCCCAGTGACTGATCTGCCCTTCCAAGTCCTGCCGATGAGCCAGGCTGGATTATGCTGCCATCAGCAGTGCTCTGAAATACTTTACTGCGGACCCGCCTGGCTCAGGAACCGGACCAGAGACTGTCACAGACAGCTGTCTCAATTCTGACATTCTGTTGCCAAACATGTCACTTTGGAGTGAATTCAGCTCCAAGGAGCCCCCACTTACCTCCCCCACAAAGAGGAGAGTCCGATTTCACTGTGGAAATCCATGTTACTTATGTAGCCATGTAGATTCCACGTGTAATAACTAAACTAGTCTGCATATTTGAACAAGGGATGTCAATATTTACACATTATATTGCCGTGTGAACTGCTCTAGTTGGAGCGCAGTGCGATGGGTTATGACATCATCTTGGTGTTAACCCTGTCCATCTATGTTCCTGCCTTGTGATGTGCTGTTCAGACTAAATCAACTCAAGTTTGTTTTTAATTTTAATATATTCTCCGCATTCTAAGGGGGTGGGGGCTTTCAGCCATTCTGCCCCTGCTCTCTGGATCCCCAGAGATTTGCACCTTCCCATCTCTTGTTTCAGGCCAACCTCAAAACGTACTTCTTTGACTGAGCTTTCGGGTTATCTTTCCCCTCCCCTCAGCTCCCACTGCCAGCTCAGGTGCCCATCCAGCGCTTTTAGACGTCCTCTCGATTTGAAAGGCGTGTATCATCATCGACTCGCAAGCGAGTGGACCTGGGTTTGATTCCCGGCAGGTCGAAACATTGGGCAAGTTTCCTCACTCCACGTGCCTCTGTTTATCTATCAGTAAGTAGGAACCCGGTTGTTAATCGATTGGCAGATCGCTTTTCCGGGGGTAATAATCCCTTCAAAAAAAATAATAATAATAATTTGATCACTCAATCCACGACTGTATGTGGGACACTGCTGTGCACAATTGGCTGCTACGTTTCACCCACAAAATATACAGTCAATCCACTTTTCAGTATATTCTGTGAAGCACTTTGAGAAGTCTTGAAGATGTGATAAGGGCTATATCATATCCAAGGATTATTATTATCATCCTTATACATTTGTATAACGTCTTTCACATTGGGAGGATGTTCCGAGATGCTGGACAGTCAGGGATTTGGACCCGAGCTGGGGGTTGGAATCAGGAGGGAGGGAGGGTAGGGGTAGGAGGGTGACTGACGGCACAGTTGAAGAGGGAGACCTTGACATGGGCCTTGAAGGAGGCAAGGGAGGGAGCAAGGCAAAGGGACTGTGGGATATAACAGTATTTTATCTGACGCTTGTCTCTGTTTCCTGATCTCCAGCCTCTTAGTGCCAAGGTGTGGTTCTACGGACGCTGGTTGCTCTCCGGGAACCTGTACAAGTGAACTTGGTTCATTGTTGCATGTATGAGCCTTGGCAGTGAGTGTGGGAAAGTCACTCGACTGTAGAGGCCCTCTGCTCAACCTGCTTGCCATTTACGGGCATGACCAATAGAGAGTGCTAAAATGGAGCCAGGAGCAGGATTCTGGGTGGTATTCTCCTCCCTAACCATGGGGCCAATTTAATTTCCTATTCTCCCCTGGCAGACCAGCAAACGCAATACCTTCTTTTGCTTATTAACTGGTTGTTTAATTGAAGTAAAAGCCATACGTTTGACAACATAGAAACGACTGCACTGAAATAAGCCATTCAGCCCAACTAGTCCATACGTTTTTTGGGGTCAGCCAGGTACCTTGGCACATGCGGAAACCCATCCCCATGCTCAAGAGTATCCAAACCAAACTGAGATTTCCATGTATCCGACCTACACACGGAAATCCCAGAGAGAGATTGTTGGAATGGAATGCGCACTCTCTCCCTGGAGGGACACATCCTGATTACCTAATTCCAGAGAGTATTAGGCGCAGGTTGGCAGGAGCCAAGGCTTGGGGACCCCAGAGTGTGCGTTGGGGTAACTGCTGGAGTCTAACCAGTTAAAACCACATAGCTTGTCTTTGATATTGCTGTCTGGGAAGGTTTCCTGCTACTTATCCAGCTAAGACCACCCTACCTGTTAGGACTTTGGCTTCCAGGGCTAACAGGAGCTGAGTGGGATGACTCCCTCCCCCCCAGTTACTGGTCTGCCCTTCCAGGTCCTGCTGTTGAGCCAGCCTGGGCTGTGCTGTCATCAGTGCCCTGATATACTGCAGATCCGCCCGGCTCAGGAGCTGGACTACCGACACCACCACAGGGGGCTGGCTTGATTCCGACATGCTATTGCCAAACATGTCACCATGGAACCAGTTCAGCTCCAAGGAAATCCCGATTACCTTCCCCCCAAGAAGGATAGTCCATACCAGTGTTTAAATTCACAATGTCTCCCTCCCTAGCTTCTCCCCTCACCTACATTTTCCCCTCTCTTCCCATGTATATGTTGCATCTCCCTCATGTATACAATATTACAGTCACTACACTTTACAGTAAGCATCTTGAGAAGTTTGGCAAGATAAATTGCTGTATCGAATATACAAATTATTATGATGCATTGCTTGCAGTTTCTGAGAGAATTTTTAAAAACAAAAAGTAACAAAGGGCAATGTACAGAACATAAGAAATGATAGACAAAAAAAAAGAACAAGGTCCAGCTAATTTACCTTCCACCCTCCTGGAAGTCACGTGCACATATGTCCTGAACTACCTATGTACTGTATCTCATAATGTTATTTCCTAAAAGAAAACTATCTAATCTGTGCTTGAAAGAATCAAGACTTCCTGCTTCAATTGACTCCCTATGGAGCCTGTTCCACAGGTTCACTATTTGCTCACTGAAATAGTGTTTGCGTAGATTTGTTCTGAATTTTCTCCCCTTCAAATCGCAGGCCGTGTCCTCTGGTTTTACTATTCTGGACAAGTTGAAACAGCCTGTCATGATCTGTATAGTCTTGCCCCTTTAGAATCTTAAAGACAGCAATCATGTTGCCTCTCAATCTCCTTTCCAGCGTGAACATGCCTAATTTACTTAGTTGCTCCTCATCGTCCAGTCCTTCCATTCCCTCAGTCATTTTGGTTGCCCTTTTCCATATCCTCTCCATTTCTCCAATATCCTTTCTGTACTGCAGTGACCAGAACTGTATACAGTACTCTTTAAGTATGGTCTCACCAATGATTTATACAGTGGCAGGATTACCCCACTATTTCAGCTTGCTATTGATCTTTTGATACATTCCAACATCTGGTTCGCTTTACTCACTGCCACAGAGCGTTGTTGGAAGAGCTTCAATTTATTGTCAATCAGGACTCGAGGTCCTTTTCATTTTCCATACATATTATTTTCCTTCCGTTCAAATAATAGAATATGTGTTTCAACAAATCCCTCGTCTGCTTCTATTTCAGGAGATAATGCACTGCTGTGACGCCATACGGACAGAAGGGGGCACCATAGGCTCTCAGTTGGGCGAGGTTGTTCCTATCCCATTGCATTCGGGGGTAGGAGGGGCCTTCCATAGAGTGTACGAAAACTACGACGAGAGAGCAAAGGGCTACAGGAGAAAAGTCATCATCACAGACTCGCTGGCTGATTCCTCCTTCCCTGTTGACGAGATCGCTTTCGTAATAGACACCGGAATGGAACAGAAAAATGTAAGTGCTGATAATAATAATAATAATCCTTGCATTTGATATAGTGCCTTATCACGTCCTCATGGTCTGAAAGTGCTGCACACAATATACTATAAAGTATATTTGTGGGCAAAATACAGCAGGCAATTCCGCACAACAGTGTCCCAAAAGCAGTCGTGGATTGAGTGACCAAATTATTTATTATTTAATCTCAAGATCTCCTAAATTCAACGGTTTTCCTCCAGCCCACCCCCGCCCCGTAGAGCCAATTTCAGTTTGAGGCTTACAATGCCTCGGTCAGTAAATTCATCCCGTGGTGCAGCACAGCACCAAACTGTGAGCTGGTCTTAACTGGGGTTATCAATAGAATCATTTGAAAAAAATACTGGATAACAACAACTTTCGCTCTAGTAGGGTAGGAGAATGTCTCAAATCGCTTTACAAAAACGAATGGGCAGAGGAAGGGGAATAGGGGGGGGAAGTGGCCAAAGGCGCAGTCGGAGAGATTGGTTCTTAGATGAGTTTTGAAGGAGAGGGAGGAAGTTCATTCCAAAAGAGTGCTGGCAAATTAGCTAAAGGATTGCCTGCCGATGGTGAGCAGAGGGGACCGGGGACATAGAAACAGGGGTAGGCCATTAAGCACCTTGAGTCTATTCCGCCTTTCTATTAGATCATGGCTAATCTGTACCTCAACTCCAATTACCCGCCTTTGCCCCATTTCCATTGATTTCCTTACCTAACAACAATCTACTCAACTCAGTCTTGACAATTTAAATGGATGCAGCATCCACAACCTTTTGGGTCGCGAAGCACAGCAGAGTTGGTGGCACGGAGGGGCTGGGAAAGGGACCAGGAGATCGCAAGATGATGGAGCAAGGAATAAAGTCCTATAGTGTAGTGGTTAGAGCACTCGCCTTGCAAGCAAGAGGACCTGGGTTCGAGTCCTGGCAGGGCAAGATATTGGCAAGTTTCCTAACTCCACATGCCTCTGTTTAATGAGCAGTAAGTAGGAACCAGTTGTTAGTCAATTAGCATATCATTTTCTGGGGGCAATATTCCCTTTTAAAAAGAATAATACTTTGGTCACTCAATCCATGACTGTTTGTGAAACACTGCTGTGTGAAATTGCCTCACCCACAAAATATCCAGTCAACTTCTGTCAAGAGGATTATAATTATTATAAAGATTTTGGGTTGCAGGTTAGGAGCTGGAATTATTAATAATAAGAGTGAAAATATAATTTACATTAATATAATGCCTTTCAAGTCAGGAGGACGTCTTAAATTGCTTACACAACTGACTGGGCACCCAAGCCAGGGAGTGAAGGGGAAGTGAGGAGGGTGGGGTCTGGTCGGATGACTGAGAGTGCAGTAAGTCAAGGAAAAAGGTCTTAAAATTGACCTATCATTGCACTGCAATTGGGTCGGGTTTCCCCAAGCGAAGTAGGGGGGGAATTTAGGAAGTTCCAGGATATTTTCTGCTCTCCCACCCCCAAACTCCAGACACATCTCCTGACATGCTCGTTCCCCTGCTAGAACAGTCCCTCAAATCCTAGGCTCGGGCACCTGAATGGAGGTTCCATAAAAACAGCCTCACAGTCTATTGGGAAATGATCACTTTTCCCTGTGCTTATCAGTCCCACATCTATCAAGACCAGGGACAACTCTGAAGCTATTCCTTTCCACCACTAATTACATCAAGTCCAATCCATCCTCTCCACCGGCTCATGAACTTTCTCGTGAGCAGAAAGGATAAATTCCTCCTGCCCACATCTTCCCCGCGTCCTTCTCACTGCCCCATTTTGCACATTTTCACTCTTGTTTCTCCTCCGTCACTCTCCCATCTTCCCTTCATTTCACACTCACCACTCATGTGCTGATTGGGGAGGACACAGGTTCGATTCTCTGGGCAGGGAGAACCTTTAAGCTAGTTTCCTTACTCCACACGTCTCTGTTTATCTAGCAGTAAGCAGGAACCCAGTTGTTAGTCGATTGGCGGATCGCTTTCCGGGGGTATTAATCCCTCAAAAAAAATTTGGCATTCAATCCGCAACTGATTGTGGGATACTGCTGTGCTCAATTGGCTGCATGTTTTGCTAACAAAATACAGTCAATCCACTTTACAGTATATTCTGTGAAGCGCTTTGAGATGCCTCAAAGACATGATAAGGCGCTATATCAAATGCAAGGATTATTATTATATTATCATTGTTCCCTGAACTTCCTTCCCCCACCCCCCTGAGCTTCTGACGCCACCCATTGCCCCTCCTCTGCTTCTAAATTGAATTAACTAATTTTTAAGAACTTGGGTTTAAATGGCACCTCTCACATAAAATAAATACCCCAAAGCACTTGACAAGAATTTTACAAATTGCGATAATAATACGTATATATGATGCAACCATTTTAATGCAAAAGCCTCAATATGTTTTACTGTCACAACTGTGCTATGACCTGTTCTGCCTTCCCCCCCATCTCCGCAACTTTGCTCGCCTCCATCAATAACTCTCCCCTCAAGACTCTCATTCATGCTTGCATCACATGCTTGACTACGCTAACTCTCTGCTTGACAGACTTCCCAACTCTTCTCTCCACAAGCTGCAGATTATTCAGAACCCTGAAGCTCATGCCCTCTCCTGCACTGAGCTCCTTGACCCGATCACTCCCATTGTTGCCTGACTCCATTGGCTCCCCATCCCCCAGAGGATCGAGATTAAAGTCCTCGTCTTTGCTTTTAAAGCTCTGCATTGTCTTGCCCCTCCCTACCTCCATGGCCTACTAAAATCTTACCAACCTGTCCGCTCCCTCCGTTCAGCAGGTATTGGCCTGCTCCATTTCCCCCTCGCGGCCTGCCCCACCATCGGCAGTCGGGCCTTCAGCTTTTCTGGCCCCACCCTCTGGAACTCCATCCTGGAACCCCTCTACTTGACTTTCTCCCTTTCCTCCTTCAAGGACCTTCTCATCTTCCTGTTTGACCTTCAGTCATCCTCCCACCTCTATTCCTTTGCCCCTTTTGATTCCAACCCTAACTCAAAGGCAAACCCTTGACTGTCCAGTGCCTTGGAAAGTCCTCCCGATGTGAACAGCACTATATAAATGCAATTTCTTAGTGTTGTCATCAGGTGACTGTATTTCCAAGCAAATATGCCAATTAGTACATAGCAATGTCCCACGCACAGCCTTGAGGTAAATGACCAGTTTATCTGTAGGATTGCTGACCAGGCCACTGGGAAAATCTGTTTAAAATAGTCAGAGGGTCTTTTGCATCCACCTGAACACAGAGATTGGTTTAAGGTCTCATTCAAAAACTGGCACCTTCAGCGACGCAGTGCATTTCCTTGTACTGTGGTGGACTTTGACTTTAATAATAATAATCCTTGCATTTGATATAGCGCTTTTCACGTTGGGAGGACGTCCCAAAGCGCTTCACAGAACACACTGTAAAGTGAATTGACTGTATATTTGTGGGCGAACGCGGCAGCCAATTGCGCACAGCAATGTCCCACAAACAGTCGTAGATTGAAAATGAACAATTTTTATTATTATTTTTTTTGGTTTTGGAGGGATTATTATTAGGAGTGTGGAGTAAGGAAACTTGCCCAAGGTTTCGCTTTGCCTGGAATTGAACTCAGGTCACACACTTGCAAAGTGAGTGCTCTAACCACTGAGCTACAGGACTCCACAAAGTCCTGGCATTAGCTTGAACTCACAACTTACTGACTCATTGATGAGATCGTGGCCAACTTGAGTGTCAGGATTTGAGCTCATAAATGTGTCAGTTCAATTTAGAATATGTGAATTCCAAGTTGACTCACAGTCAGCGAAGAATCAGCGAAACTTTAACCCACAACCCAGAGTCGAGAGTGTTGCCAACTGAGCTTGTAAACTGCAATAGGAGTAGGGGTAGAGCGCAAGATGACTTTGGTGTCCATGTTAGGTTCAGTTTTTACAATGGCAACTTTAACAAGTAGATATAAAATAATAATAATCCTTGCATTTGTTATCGCACCTTATCATGTCATTGAAACGTCTCAAATTACTTCACAAAATATAATGTAAGGTGAATTGACACTGACAGTGTCCCACAAACAGCCGTGGATCGAGTAACAAAATTTAAATTATTTTGGGAGGGAAGCGGTCTAGGAAAGTGATCCGCCATTCGACTAACAACTAAGTTCCAACGTACTGCTAGATAAACAAGCCTAAGGTTTCGTCCTGCCTGGGGATTGTACCCGGGTCTTCTTCTTGCGAGGTGAGCCCACTAACCACTATACTTCCTCTCCCAGGTGTACAATCCTCGAATACGGGCTGACTCCCAGGTGGTGCGACCAATAAGCAAAAGCCAGGCTGAGCTGAGGCGCAAGAGGTTAGGCTACACCTGCCCAGGTAAGAGGGAATGTTACCAGGTGTGCAATGCAGGATATTGATTCTAGTGGTTAAGTAGTGGCCCACCACTACTTAACAGTTCTTTACTGGAAACATTTTGGAGTGGAATTGTGACCTATGATGTGTTCACATATTGTTGAAAATTCTGCCCTATTGATAACTGAAGACGACAACTTGTCTAAGGACATAATCTCCTCCCTCGCACCCCCCATTCTCCAGACTCTGTTTACAATGGTTAGGCCTGAAGCAGTGTGTGTTAAAGCCCCACTTGGGGACTTTGAGCTCACAGTCTATGCTGATGTTCCAGTGTAGTGCTGGGGGAGTGCTGAGTTACTATACTAATAATAGTGCTATTCAAAATGCGAAGGACGACTCTCCCGGTTTACTGGCCAACAATCCTCCATATCGATCTGTCCGCTTCCTCCATTCAGGAAGCTCTGGCCCGCTCAGCGTTCCCCTCCCGGCCTGCCCCATCTTCGACGGTCGGTCCTTCAGCCTCTCTGCCCCCCCACCTTTGCAACTGGAACTTTGCTTTGCTCCCTCCCTTGTGTCCTTCAAGGCCCGTTTTAAGACCCTCCTCTTTGACGGCGCCTTCAGCCACTCTCCTATCCCTGCCCTCCACCCCTCCTGATTCCAAACCCCTGCTTGGGTCCAATACCTGCGCCTTGCGACGTCCTCCTAAAAGGCGATATACAAATGTAATTTCTTGTTCTTGTTATTAATTGGTCAGTGATTCCGGACCGTTTATGAGTCATTGTTGATGACAAATTGGCTGCCACATTTGCCTACAACTGCACATCATCACTTTATAACATTTATTGCTTTGAGATGTCTCAACATTATATGTTGTAGTTGAATATTATTAATTATCACTAATGTCTGTGTGTTGACGTGTCTGTATGTGCGTGTTGACGTATGTCTGTGTATCTGCCCGCATATGAGTGTGCTCGTGTGTGCGCATGTGTTGTTGCCGTTGTATGTGTGTGTGAGTACGCACATGTACGTGTTAACATTGTGTTTGTGTTTCTGTGCTCCAGAGGGGTTCATGAATGGAGTCCCACAACACAGAAACAGCCCTGGTCAAAGTGACAAATGACATTCTGTCCATCTGCGTCCAGTTCTCCCTCTGCCTTCTAGTCCTCCTTGACCTCTCTGCTGCCTTCGACACCGTTGACCACTTTATCCTCATCCATCGCCTCTCCTCTCACCTCAACCTTCACGGCTCTGTCCTTGACTGGTTCAGATCGTACCTCTCACACTGCCCCCACTTCATCTCCACAAACAGTTTCTCCTCTAGCCCCCGCACCGTCTCGTACAGAGTTCCTCAGGCTCTGTCCTTCATCCCCTCCTCTTCAATATCTATCTGCTCCCTCTTGGGGACATCATCTGGAGACATGGGGACAATTTCCACATGTATGTGGATGACACCCAACTCTATTTTTCTTCCTCCAGCCTTGACTCCAGGACCACTGCTGTCCTGACAGAATGTCTGTCAGACATCAAGTCCTGGATGAGAGCGAACTTTCTTCAGTTGAGCGTCAACAAGACCGAGGCTCTCCTGATTGGCTCCCGTCAGCGCCTCCTCACCTCAGACACTGACAGCATCACCATCCATGGTTGTAAACTCCACCTTGCTAAGCCAGTCCGGAACCTTGGCCTCTTGTTTGACCTCAACTATCCTTTCTATCCCACATCCGTGCCATGACCCGCTCTGCCTTCCCCCACCTCCGCAACATCGCCCGGCTCCGACATTGTCTCCGTTCGCAGGCCACCAAAATCCTCATACACGCATTCGTAACATCGAGGCTTGACTATGCAAACTCCCTGCTTGTCGACCTCCCCAACTCCTCCCTCCATAGGCTGCAGATCATCCAAAACTCTGCAGCCCATATGCTCTCCCGCACTAGGCTATCACTCCCATCCTCGCCCGACTCCACTGGCTTCCCCCACCGCCGTTGGTGTTGTGCGCTTGTGCTCATCCCTCCCATATCTACTGCGATCGTGGCACTGCGGGCAAAGTGAATTTCTTCTTTGAGTTTGCAGAAAAAACACTTCTGCTTCCACATTTCCCAATCCAGCCACAAGCTTAATATGCGGTTCATCTGCCTTTCAACCCAACAAAAACCCATTCAGAATTTGAAGACATTGATCTGGGCCGTGGCTGACATGCAGTCATCGGACTGAAACCAGAGTGGAAGGAGGGGTTTCTGAGGCATACAAGGGGCTGATAAATGAGCCATTGGATTGCTAATAAAGCAATAAATAAATTAGCTGTAGATGTGATAAGGCACTATATTAAATGCATGGACTATAGTTCGTCTGTCAGAGACGCATTCATATTTTCAGCATGTTCCCTCACAAATATATAGTGATTGCCCTGTGAGTGCTTTGTCGTTTGGATGGCGTGATAAACTGCTATATCTAATTTTTTTGATCAGCTGGGAGTCTGACTCACATGGAAACCCATCACTCTTGCTTAAGAGTATCCAAAGCAAACTGAGAATTCCATGCATCCCACCTACACATGGAAATTCTCAGTTTGTATTATATATTTATATATTATATGCAATGATATACTATATAATATTTATTATAATTATATATAATTCTATAAATATTTAATTATAGCATTTAAATAATACAAATATGCCGTATTGTATAATTAAATGCCATGCATTTGTATTATTTATATGTAGAATTCCTTTCTATTGGAATGGAATGCTCACTCTCCCTGGAGGGACACATCCTGTTTACCTAATTCTGGAAAGTGTAAGGTGCAGGTTGGCAAGAGCCAAGGTTTGAGGACCCCCAGGGTGTGCAATGGGGTAACTGCTGGAGTCTAACCAGTTGAAACTGCATAGCTTGTCATTGAACGTACAACTAAACCCTGGCTAGCCAGAGTAATGGGGGAGAGGAAGGAATCTGGTCCCGCAAGCCACAATTTCCAGCTAAGTGTAATTACAATCCCAGTAGCAGCGTTGTAATTGTTTGAATCCTGTAAGCAGAAGATAACGAATAGGCTACCTGCTGATCGCGGGATTCAAACTATCTGAGTTAATGTCGATCTCCTTGATCACTGTGAGGGTGCTCAGTGCACTGTTGGCTCGGAGAGCGAGCTGGTGGGAGTCCACACATTCGTAGAAATGTTTTTAAACTATTAGGTTTTGGGCCCTGTCCGGCTACGTATGATTTCCGGATAATGAATTTCTGGTAAGCTGGGGTTTTATTGTGCTGCAAGCTTTATTGTTGCTTTTGCAGCTAGGACCATCCTACCAGTTAGGGCTTTGACTTGCTGGGGCTGAGTGGGAGAAATAATAATAATTATATATAATAATATATAATAATCCTTGCATTTGATATAGTACCTTATCACGTTGTTGGGAGTCTCAAAGCGCTTCACAGAATATAGTGTAAAATTAATTGACTGTATATTTTGTGGGCGAAAAGCAGCAGCCAATTGAGCACAACAGTGTCCCACAAACACGTGGATTGAGTGACCAAATTATTATTATTCATTTATTTTGAAGGGATTATTACCCTAGGAAAAGTGATCCGCCAATTGACTAACAATCGTGTTCCTACTTATTGCTTGGTAAACGAGCGTGTGGAGTAAGGAAACTTGCCCAATGTTTTGCCCTGCCCAGGAATCAAATCCCTGTCCTGCCCCCAGTGACTGGTCTGGCCTACCAGATCCTGCCGATGAGCCAGCAATGCCCTGGAACAATTGCAATGCACTGTGGACCCGCCTGGCTCAGGAACCAGACTGGAGACCGTCATAGAGGGCTGGCTCAATTCTGACATTTCGTTGCCAGGAACATCACCTTGGAGAATGATCAGCTCCAAGAAGACCCACCTTACCTCCCCCTCCCTAGCCCTCCAGAAGGGTAATCACTGGTTGGTCATTTGACATATAACACGCGTGGGTTTGAGCATGCTTTATCAAAAGCAAGGATTGTAATAATCCTTGCGTTTGATATAGCGGAATATCATTTGAGAGTCTCAAAGCACTTCACAGAATATACTATAAAGTGAATTGACTGTATATTTTGTGGGTGAAAGGATTATTGTCATTTGACAATTTTATTAATCCCTCTTTCCACAATATCCCTCATTTGTATCTGTTTTTCTACAAACATAGACCTAGGTTGGAGGTGTGGATGACTATTTTGTAAATCGCCCTGTGTGTGACATTGAACTGCCCTGATTGGGGCTGAGACTAGTTCCTTTAACAAATGAAGTGAGTTCAGAAATAAGACAAGCCGAGCAGGAGGAAAAGAAGGCACAGGTTCAGGATTCTGGTGAACAAGGCTCATAACAGGCAAATAGTTGTTTGCAGATAGGGGAATTAGTGACTAGAACGAGGGTTACCTGGAAAGGCGGTTGGAGATGGGTCTCATTTAAAAAGCAATAGACTGCTATGTTTTCAGATGACTCAACAATAAGCCGCTATATCAAATGCAAGGTGCTTATTCTAGTTAAGGACCAGAGTTCTCCTCATCCAAAAGCGGTCAGATACATCCCTCCAGGGAGAGAGTGCACTCTCCATTCCAGGCACGGGTAAATTCCCATGCATGTGCTGGTTTCTGTTAGGTTTGGATACTCTTAAGCAGGGTGACAGATTTGCATGCATGTCAGACCCAGCTGAACAGATAGAAAATACTTTCCTCTACCTCTTTGAACGACCTGCCTCTTCCTTCTCTCGCTTGCTCGGTGTCCCAACTTCCATCTCAGTGAAGTGATCCGAGATATTATCCTATGTGAAGGGTGCTATATAAATGAAAGTTTTTACTTTCTCTGTTTCTCTCTCTATCCTTTCTCTCCCTGTTTTTCTCTCTCTGGCACTTTTAGTGACGTTACCTCATTTCCAGAGGAGTTTGTGACTGTGTGTTGTTCACTGTGTTTCAGGAAAGTGTTTCCGCTTGTACTCGGAAGCGTTCCACGACGAGGAGATGCCAGAGATCCCTCCACCTCGCGTGTCGGAAGAGAACCTCAGCCACCTGGTTCTGCTGCTAAAACGCCTGGACATCGCGGATATGGGGCAGTGTGACTTTTTGGACAGACCAGGTACTGACAGTCACCATGTCCAACCTCCTAACAAGTAAAAGACTTTGAGCACACAGTTTAGGCTGAGATAAGGATGTCTGTGATGTGCTCACAAAACCTGGTGGAGAATGTCGGAAGAGTCTTAACAGGTATCTTGTCTCCAATTCATGAAGGTTGTGGGTTCAAGCCCCTGTATCAACCTGTTCGCTCCCTCCGCTCAGAGGGTTCTGGCCTCACCCACCCCACCATTGGCGGGCGGACTTTCTGCCACTCTGCCACCACCCTCTGTAACTCCATCCTGCAGTCCCTCCACCTCGCCCCCTCCCTTGCCTCCTTCAAGACCCATCTCAAGATCCTCTTCTTCGACCGTGCCTTAGCCCTTCCCCCCCCCCCGTCCTCCATCCTCTCCGATCCCGACTCCCAGCTCAGGTCCGAAACACTGATTGTCCAGTGCTTTGGGATGTCCTCCTGTCGTGAAAGGCACGATACAAATGTAATTTTGTTGTTGTTGTCATTGCATCAGGACTTTGAGCTCACAGTCTAGGCTGAATCTCCAGTGCAGAGCTTGGGGCAGCGCTGGGTTATCGGAGGCGCGGTCCTTCAGTCGAAATGTTAAACCAATGGGTTTGTGCTCATTCAGGTGGACATTAAAGATTACGCTGCACCTGAAAAAGAGGAGATTCTGAAAAAACCTTCCCTGGACTCATCCCTGCTTTCTGACTACCGGCCCATCTCCAACCTCCCTTTTCTTTCCAAGGTCCTTGAAAGAGTCGTTGCTTTCCAGCTTCGCTCTTTCCTCTCCTACCACTCCCTTCACGAGCCCCTCCAATCGGGTTTCTGTGCTGCTCACAGCACGGAAACTGCTCTGGTTAAGGTGACAAACGACATCCTGTCCATTTGTGGCCAGGGCTCCCTCTGCCTCCTCATCCTACTCGATCTCTTTGCTGCCTTTGATACAGTGGACCACTCCATTCTCCACTGCCTCTCTTCTCACTTCAACCTTCAAGGTTCTGTCCTTGAATGGTTCAGGTCTTGTCTCTCACACCGCCTCCAATTCGCCTCTGCCAACGGTTTCTCTTCCAGCCCCCGCACAGTCTCGTGCGGTGTTCCTCAGGGCTCTGTGCTTGTCTCCTCCTCTTCAACCTCACATGCTCCCTCTTGGTGACATCATTCCCAGACATGGGGCAACTTCCACATGTATGCGTATGACACCCAACTCTATCTCTCTGCTTCCACCCTCGATTCCAGGACCACTGCTGTCCTGACAGAATGTCTGTCAGACATCAAGTCCTGGAAGAGAGCTAACTTTCTGCAGTTGAATGTCAGCAAGATCGAGGCCCTCCTGATTGGCTTGCATCAGTGCCTCCACACCCAGGCACTGGCAGCATCAGCATCCACGGATGCACAATCCACCTCACCAAGCCAGTCAGGAATCTGGGTGTCTTGTTCGATCCTCAACTGTCCGTTCTGTCCGATATCCATGCCATGAACTGCTCTGCCTTCCCGAACCTCCGCAACATTGCCCGACTCCACCACTGTCTCACCCTTCAGGCTGCCGAAACCCTCATACACGCATCCGTCACCTCAAAGCTCAACTGCGGAAACTCTCTCCTTGTCGGCCTCCCCAACTCTTCCCTCCACAAGCTGCAGATCATTCAGAACTCTACAGCTTGTGTCCTCTCCCGCACCAGGCTCTGTGACCCTATCACCTCCACCCTCACCTAGCTCCACTGGTTTCCCATCCCTCAGAGGATAGAGTTCAAAATCCTCGTCCTCACTTTCAAGGCCCTTCACGGCCTTGCCCCTCCTACCTTTCTGACCTGCTGACCCCCTATCAAACTGTCCGCTTCCTCTGCTCTGCAGGCTCTGGCCTGCTCCATGTCTCCCGCCCAACCCAGCCTACCATCGGGGGCTGGGATCTCAGCTTCTCTGCCCCCACACTCTGGAACTCCATCACAAAATCCCTTCGCCTTGTTCCCTCGCCTGCTTACTTCAAGGCACGATTCAAGACCCTTCTCTTCAACCGTGCCTTCAGCCTCCCTCCTACCTCTCTGGCTTCCCTCATCCCAAACCTGCCCCTACACTCTCGAGTCCTGATGCATGACTGTTCAGCTTTGGGACGTCGTGCCGACGTAAAAGGCACTTTACAAATGTAATTTTGTTGTTGTTGAAGCTCTTTGAGGGCTCATGCCCTCCTGGTATGAAGGGCGCTGTATCAAATACAAGGAAATTGTTGTCATCAAGCTACCGGCCCATCTCCAACCTCCCTTTCCTGTCCAAGGTCCTGGAACGAGTTGTCTACTCCCAGCTGCGCTCTTTCCTCTCCACCCATTCATTATTCGAACCCCTTCAGTCGGGTTTCCGTGCTGCCCATAGCACAGAAACTGCCCTGGTCAAGGTCACCAATGACATCCTGACTATCTGCGACCAGGGCTCCCTCTGCCTCCTCGTCCGCCTCGACCTATCGGCAGCATTCGATACGGTCGACCACTCTATCCTCCTCCACTACCATCGGTGGCCGGGCCTTCAGCCTCTCAGCCCCGAGGCTCTGGAACTCTATCCCCCAGTGCCTTCGCCGCTTCCTCCCTTTCCTCCTTCAAGGCCGGTCTCAAGACCTTTCTCTGACCGTGCCTTCAGCTCCCCTCTCGACTCTCTACCCCCTCCTCGTTCCCTCCCTTCCCTCCCCTCACCCTGACCATTTCCCCCCTCCTCGGGTCCTGACCCAACTGTCCAGCGCCTTGGGACGTCCTCCCGACGTGAAAGGCGCTCTATAAATGGAATCTTGTTGTTGTTGTCATATAATTTTTATTTTCCCACTTATAATTTTCAGCAAAAAAAGCCTACTAATGTATAATAATATTATTAATAATCCTTGCATTTGATATAGCTCTCTATCACGTCATTGAGACGTCTCTAAAAGCGCTTCACAGAATATATTGTAGAGTGAATTGACTATATATTACGTGGGCGCAATGTGGCAGCCAATTGCGCACAACAGTTTCCCACAAAAAGTTATGGATTGGGTGACCAAATTATTATTATTTATTTTTGAGGGATTATTTCAACAATCAACTAACAACTGGGTTCCTACTTACTGTGTACGTTCTTGTGTAGTCCTTAGAATGAGACAGCAAACCAAGGTCCTGTTTATCTGTTCGGGTAGACATTAAAGATCCCATGGCACTATTCAAAATGAGAAGGGTGTTTCTCTTTCCTGGTGTCCAGGCCAACAATCCAAATAAAATTCACCACTCAATCCACGACTGTTTATGCGACACTTCTGTGCCTAAACTGGCTGCACCCAAAATATGCAGTCAATCCACTTTACAGTATATTCTGTGAAGCTCTTTGAGATGTCTCAACGACTTGATAAGGCATTATATCAAATGCAGGGATTATTTTTAATTATTACTACTGGGTAAACCGAAGCAATTGTATTTTCTCCCTCACTCTATCCCCTCTCTGTATCCCTCTCTCTCTGTATCACTCTCTATCTTTATCCCTCTCTTTTTGCTCTCTCTCTCTTTATCCCTCTAACCCTCTCTTTATCTCTCTTGCTTCTCAGCCCCAGAGGCACTGATGCAGGCTCTGGAGGACCTGGATTACCTCGCTGCTCTGGATGACGACGGAAACCTGTCAGAGGTTGGAATCATTATGTCCGAGTTCCCTCTGGACCCACAGCTTGCAAAAGCTCTTCTGGCATCCTGTGAATTCGACTGTGTGAATGAGATGTTAACTATTGCCGCGATGGTAACAGGTAAGAAGGAGTCCTGTAGTGTAGTGGTTAGAGCAATAGCCTCACAAGCAAGAGGGTCAGGGTTCAATTCCCAGGCAGGGCAAAACCTTTGGCAAGTTTCTTTACTCCACACCTCTCTGTTTAACTAACAGTAAATAGGAATCTGGTTGTTAGTCGATTGGCGGATTGCTTTCCAGTGTTAATAATCCCTCAAATTGAGTGACCAAATACTTTGGTCACTCAATCCACTACTGTTTGTGGGACACAAACAATTGTCTGCCGTGTTTCACCCACAAAATATACAGTTCACTTTACAGTATATCCTGTGAAGTGCTTTGAGACAGCTCAATGACGTGATAAGGTATAATATCAAATGCAACGGTTATTTATTATTATAAGGAGTTTAAATAATTGCTTACGTCTCCTTCCCTCCGCCCTCCCCATGTTTGGACCATGGCTCATTTAAAACTGCCTGAACACATTCTGATTTTTCTACATGTACGCACTGAGGTGTCGGCTTGGCTCAGTTGCTAGTACTCTGTGGTCGGTTTGAGCCCTAAATCAGGACTTTTAACTCACAGGATTCCACATTATACACTCTGAATAGGCTGCATCAGCCTTATGTCAATGTGCACAGCATTTAATAATAATCCTTATATTTAATATAGCACCTTTCACGTCAGGGGGACTTTTCAAAGCCCTTCACAGGATTTACTTTAAAATGTTATGGCTCTCCCAATATAGTGCTGCATTGTTGGAGGTTATATCTTTCGTTGAGATGTAAGACCAAGCCTGTGCCTCTGCAGGCAGACAATAAAGATCCCCTATGGGATCTTGGTCAGCAATCCACCATTGCTATGTGCAAATTGGCTGCCGCGTTCGCCTACAAAATACACAGTCAAAGCACTTTACAGTAAATCCTGCGAAGTGCTTTGAAACGTCCTCCTGATGTGAAAGGTGCTATATTAAATGATTATTATTAATAAATGCTGTGCACATTGACATGAGGCTGAATCAGTCTATTCAGAGAGTATAATGGTTCTAGACCGGACTTGTGTCAGTTCATCTGTAGTGTAAGGTCACATTGCAGGGGAATATTTTACATTGAGGATAAATGACCTCTGGAACAGGTTATAATATAATAATCCTTGCGTTCGATTTATGCCTTATGTCATTGAGACATCTTAAAACGCTTTACAGAATATGCTGTTAAGTGGATTGACTGTGTATTTTGTGGGCGAAACGTGACAGTCAATTGCGCACAGCAGTGTCCCACTGAGTGATCAGATTTATTTTTTGAAGGGTTTATTACCCCCAGAAAGCAATCTGCCAATTGCCTAAAAAACGGGTTCCTACTTACTGCTAGGTAAACAGAAGCGTGTGGAGTAAGGGTTAGTAAGGGTTACCAGGAAAGACGGTGGAAGCATTTCAAGAATAGCCTGGTTATAGACTGTCAGAAGCTCAGTTCAAATGAAAGTTGTTTGGAGGATAAGGGTTAGACACGAAACCTGTATTGGTGTGGAACCACAGTCACTCAGTCTCTCATGAAGCATTATTCAGTTTTACCTGGAAACTTCCTTTATTTCATGAAATGTAATGTTTTGCAAACGGTAGTGGGGGGGTAGAGAATCTACCCTGCTTCCATTCACCATTAACTCTGCAAGATGGAGCTGTGGTCATTGGACACTTCATTATGTGGTTATCTGGTGACCAACATATCCTATTGTTGATGGTTCTCTTAATCTTTGGAGTTTCCTACTAAGTGGGTGCGTGGTTTTTCACAACACTTGTCCACAAAGAATCCTGTACAGTCCATGATTCGGGGTGAGTTCCACACGTGGTTACCCAGCACCCTATTTAAAAGTATCCAAAGCAAACTGAGAATTCCACCGATGTACGCCACCTACATGTGGAAATTTCCCTGTGTCTGGAATGGAATGTGCATATCTAATTCTGGAGAGTGTTCGGCGCAGGTTGGTGAGAGCCAAGGCTTGGGGACCCCAGAGTGTTCATGTGTTGCTGGAATCTAACCAGCTGAAATCGCACAAGCCTGTTATGTGAAAGCAATGTCTGTGAAGCTTTCCCGCTGCTTTCCAGCTAGGACCACCCTACCCACTGGTTCATTGACTTGCAGGCTTGACAGGAGCTGAGTGGGATGATTCCCTGCCCCCAGTGACTGGTTAGCCCTTCCACGTCCTGCAGATGAGCCAGGCTGGGCTGTGCTGTTACCAGCAGTGTCCTGGAAAACTGCAGACCCGCCTGACTCAGAAACTGGACTAGAGACCAGGACAGAATGGGTTCGATTCCGACATTTTTTTGCCAAACATGTCTTACCTTGGAGTCAGCTCAGCTCCAAAGAGACCCTGCTTAGCTTCCTTCCCCCGCCCCCAAGGAAGATGGTATTGCTGGAGGGATAAAATAACATTGCAACTATCAACGCTGCCAGAACCTGTCGTTGAGTCCTGATCTGAGCTGCTCTAACTTTGTGCCTTGAACGTTTAGCTGCTCATAACCACTGTTGTCCTTGTCCCTAGCGTCGCCATGTTTTGTGACGCTCTCCAAACATCAGGAGGAGGCAGCTGCTGTGCACAGGAGAATTCTGCTTCATGCCGAGGGCGACCATTTTACTCTCATCAACGTGTTCAATGCATTCAAACAGCGTGAGTGCTGAAAGTCTCAACTTTGGGTCTGCTGTGCGAGCCCCCCCACCTTCTCCGAACCACCATCAATGGCCAAGCCCACTACTCGACTAACCTCTGGAACTCCCTTCCTCTTCTCTTCTGTCTCATGCCCTCTCTATCTGACTAACGATTCCCGGGCAGGGTGAAACCTTAGGCAGGTTTACTTACTCCATGGGTCTTTGTTTGCCTAGCAGTAAGTGGGAACCCGGTTATTAGTCGCTTGGCGGATCTCTTTCTGGGGATAATAATCCCTCAAAAAAATGTGGTCACTCAATCCATGATTGTTTGTGGAACTCTGCTGTGTTGTAATTGGTTGCCATGTTTCGCCTACAAAATATACAGTCAATTCAGACTACAATATATTCTGTGAAACACATGTCAATGATATGATAAGGCGCTATATCAAATGCAAGGATTATTATTTTAGTTTCGTGAAATTCCTCACTGGCTTAAAAATCCCAATACTGCATTGGCACTGTGTTCAGAATCCCATGTGGGGCTTGAACCCAAAACCTTTTGACGAAGAGGGGCAACTGGGATAGGTACGGAACCGGGGTGTGTATGTGGAACAGAACTGGAGGGGGAGTGGGGGGGAAGCAGAACCGATGTGAGGTAGATTGGAACCAGTATACCGGGGGGAAATTCATTCAGAACTCTGCAGCTCGTGTACTGTCCCGCACCAGGCTTCGCGACCACATCACTCCCACCCTCGCTCGCCTCCACTGGCTCCCCATCTCCCAGAGGATCGATTTCAAGATCCTCATCCTCACCTACAAGGCCATTCACGGCCTTCCTCCCTCCTACCTCTCCGACCTACTATCCCCCTACCTACCTGCCCGTACCCTCCGTTCCTCTGGCTCCGGTCTGCTCCACATCCCCCGCCCCAACCGCCCTACCATCGGTGGCCGGGCCTTCAGCCTCTCAGCCCCGAGGCTCTGGAACTCCATCCCCCAGTGCCTTCGCCGCCTCCTCCCTTTCCTCCTTCAAGGCCGGTCTCAAGACCTTTCTCTTTGACCGTACCTTCAGCTCCCCTCTCGACTCTCTACCCCCTCCTCGCTCCCTCCCTTCCCTCCCCTCACCCTGACCATTTCCCCCCTGCTCGGGTCCTGACCCAACTGTACAGCGCCTTGGGACGTCCTCCCGATGTGAATGGCGCTCTATAAATGGAATCTTGTTGTTGTTGTTGAAATGGTGTGTTGCTGGGAGGGAGGAAGAAACTGAACCGGCATGTGATTGCTGTGCGACGTGCTTTCAGATCACGAAGATGAAAACTGGTGTGTGAAGAATTACCTGAGTTACTCAGCCCTGACACTGGCAGAGATTGTGCGTTGTGAACTGCTGGAAATAATGCAGCGGATCGAGCTTCCTGTCTCCCCAGCGAACTTCGGGCTAGAGCACAATGTGCTCAATGTGAAGCGAGCTCTGATCTCTGGATATTTTCTCAAGGTTCGTGACCACATAGCCATGTGGGATACCAGAGATGAGGGAGAGACTAGAGAAACTGGGATTATTCTCCTTAGAGCAGAGAAGGTTGAGTGGAGATTTGAGAGAGGTATTCAAAATTATGAGGGGTTTTGATAGAGTAGATAGAGAGAAACTGTTTCCTCTGGTGGGTGGGTCAGTAACCAGAGGACATAGATTTAAGATAATTCACAAAAAAAACAGTGGGGATACCAGATTTTTTTTACCCAGAAAGTTATTATGATCTTGGATATGGATAGCTCTTTTAAGGAACTAGCACAGGCACGAGGGGCCGAATGGCCTCCTTCTGTGCTGTGAAGATTCTATAAAGCACTCCCTCGGTTCACCTCTGGACCATAAAGCGCGCTGACCCCAGTATTTCTTACGGAACCTAAAGAGGAAGGAATATCCTTGGTGACTGCTTCTTGGTTACGGTCAACTCCTGTGGGACGAGACATTAAACTGAGGTCCGGTCTGGCTGTTCAGGTGGATGTTAAAAGATCCCGCGACACCACTCGAGAAGCAAATGGAGTTTCTCCTGGTGTATGCGCCTATGATAATGCAGCCCTCCCCTTCCTCCCCTGCATTGGGGTTTCCCTACAATCCACCATTGTTTGTGGGACACTGCTGAGTGCAATTGGCTGCTGCGTTTCGCCTACAAAATATACAGTCAATCCATTTTACAGAATGTTCTATCACAATGTTCTCAACATCGTGTTAAGGAACTACATCAAATGCAAGGATTATTATTAATCTTTAGACTGTCAGCCAGGATTGGGATTTAAAAGTTCCTGACATGGGAACTTGACCCAGAAGGTTCTGGCTCAGAGGCAAGAATGCTATTGACTGAGCCGGGCTGACATCTGCACTGTGAACCCCCTTCCACCCCACCCTCGATGCCTACATTATAAATGTTGTGTGTGAAAGTGTCGCTTCGCTTGCAAACTCATTCTGATGTGCTTGTGACCAGCCAGTCTTTGACAGTGAGGGCGTCCACAATCTGGTTTGCTCTTTCTTTCTCTCTCTCGTTTGCTGCCCCGCTGGGATCTAGGTGGCGAGAGACGTGGATGGCTCCGGTAACTACCTGATGCTGAACCACAGGCACGTGGCTCACCTGCACCCGTTCTCCTGTTACCTGACCAAGAAGCCTCTGCCCCGGCCCCCCTCTTGGGTCCTGTATCACGAGTTCACCGTCTCCCAGGACAACTGCATCAGCGTGGTCTCCGAGATTCACCCCGAAATGTAAGGCTGCCTCGGAACACTTCAGGTTATCAGCATCACTGTGTCCTTTCTCTCATTCTCTTCTTTCTCATTTCTTTTCTCCCTACTCTCAAATGCTGTACAATTCAGGGGTGCTCAAGACCAACAACAACTTACATTTGTATAGCGCCCCACAGACATAGTAGTGTCTCAGAGCGCTTGTCAGAGGTGGATTGACTAAGAAATTTGGAAGGGGCGAGGTGGAGGGATTGAAGAAAATTGTTCCAGAGTTTCGGGGTATAATAATAATTTTTGCATTTGATATAACGCTTTTCACGTCCTTTAGATGTCACAAAGCGCTGCACAGAATATACTGTAAAGTGAATTGACTGTATATTTTGTGGGCGAAACTTGGCAGCCAATTGGGCACAGTAGTGTCCCACAAACAGTCGTGGATTGAGTGACCAAATTATTATTTTTATTTTTTCTTGAGGGAAGTGTAGTGGCTGAAAGTGCAGCTGCCGATGGTGGAATGGAGGGCCCAAGGTACAAGCAGGTGTCTGGAGCCTGTCGATCGGGAGCTGACAGTTAGTGGAATGGGGAATTAGCAGGTCAGAGAAGTAGGTGCCAGGGAGTGTAGGGATTTGTAGACAAGTGAGAGGATCTCGAAATCTGTGATAGGGAACCATTGGAGCCTGGCGAAGATTGGTGTGATGGGGCTATGGAGTTCAGTGTGAGGTTAAAAAATTTTACATCCTTTCCGTCTCCCTGCCCACCCTCCGGTTGTGGGCTCTGCAAAAGTTTCTCAAAAACGTTAGTACTGAAAGCAAACCCGATGTGCAAATGTTCCCATGCTTCATTCCCCAGGGGAAAATTAGTCATAAAACAGCAATACATTTGCACAAACAAACATTTCTCTGTAGAAAATACCTAGCGGGGAATTTTCCAGTGTAATTTTTGTCAATTTACGTACACTCGCCAGAGAGGTGTGGATGAAGACGGCCTTTTGCCCCTTGTCCTGATGTGAAGCGCTCTGAAACACTACCCAGCATGAAGAGCGCTATATAAATGCACGTTGTTGTTGCGGAATCCCCACCCTATCTGCTTCCAACAAAAACTTCCAATTACACACAAAAAAATTTGGTCACTTAGTGCACCACCATCTGTGGGACACTGCTGTGGACTGCAATTGGCTGCCGTGGTTCACCCACAAAATGCTCAGTCAATCCCCTTTGTTGTATATTCTGTGAAGCACTTAGAGGCATCTCAGTGATGTTAAAAATGATTTAAAAAAAATAGCAACAACAACAGTGGCCTGGCAGCCCCTGTCACTGCCATCGCAGCCATGACCACACAGCCTGCGGGCTGATGCTGTCCTGCTGATCGCTCACTCCCGGTCTCTGGTGCGCGTTTTGGCTATCGCCCCGACCCGAGCCTCCCCCTCCACTCTAAATTTTTCTCCTCCCGCCCACCTCTATCTGCTATTCTCCCTCTGTCCTTCATTCCCATCGCCCTCCCCGCCTTCTCTCTCTCCTGGACCCCATCACCACTTCCCTCTGCTCCAGCCTGGGCATCCTCTGCTGGGCCCATCATGGCTCCAGGCACTGACTGTCCCAGAACAGCAACCCCACGTGTCCCATCATTCACTCTCTCCACACAAACCGCCTCCTTAAGGCAAACACAACTTTCCCTTCCCTCATACGTACCCTCCCCAGGTCTCCACTCCCCCCGCACTCCACAGCCATCTTTCCTGTACACACAAAAATCCTCTCCGCATCACTCTCTCCTCCCTCTCCTCCCTCCAGCAAACCCACCTGCATTTCCCTCCAAAATGTCCGTACCCTCTCAAACAAAGCCCTCACCATCCATGACCTCATTCTGGACGAGCACCTTGACATTCTTGGGCGCACAGAAACCTGGCTCTCCCCCACTGTCCCCATCCCCTAGTTGAAGCCTCCGCTGCAGGCTACTCCTTCCACCACAACCCCCGTCCAAACCAACATGGCAGTGGGGTGGCCCTCATCTCCAAAGCCTCCCTTGGTCTTGCCCCCTACTCCTCTGGCTGCTTCCCCTCCTTCGAGCACCTCACCCTCTTCCATCCCTCTTTCCCACTGAAAATCCTCCTGGTTTACCGCCCCCCCAAAGCCCCATAGCTCCTTCCACACAGACATCTCTACTCTTCTCTCCTCCCTTTCCCTCTGCTCCTAAACGCCGGCTCATAATGGCCGATTTCAACCTCCACCTAAGCTCCCCTTGCACCACCTCTTCTGACTTCACTGCCCTCCTCTCCTCCCTAAACCTCACCTTTCACATAAATTCACCGACCCACAACCATGGCCATGCCCTCGACCTCATTATCACCCACGGCCTTGACATTTCCGACCTCAGCATAGTGGACAAGGCCATCTCGGATCACTTCCTCATCTCCTTCTCCTCTCAAATCGCCCTCCCTCCTCCACCAAGCCCTCAACTATTCTCTACCGCCCATGGAAAAGGCTACCCCCTGAGACCCTCACAAAGGCCCTCACATCATCAAATATCCTATCCCTCTGGCTTTCCACCCACGGAGATCCTGATGATCGCCTCTCCTCCACCTTCAACTCCCTCGTCCCCCTGAAATTCAGGACAATCTCCAAACCCACCCGATCCCCCTGGTACAACAACCATCTCCACTACCTAAAAACTCAAACCCGGCTGCTCGAGCGCAGATGGCAGAAAACTTGCCTGACAGTTCACCGCCAACTGTGGCTCGAGCATCTCCACAGCTATCACCATTCTTTGACACGAGCAAAAACTGCCTTCTACTCCAACATCATCTTGGAGTCTAAAAACAATCCTAAAATCCTTTTTTTCCATCACCTCATCTGTGCCCACCCTCAGACCTCCTCAATCGTCATATCAAATGCCAAGTGCAAGGAGGTCATGGACTTCTTTTCATCCAAAATACACAATATCCGCCAGGCAGCCTCATCCTCCTGCCTCTTGTCACCCGCCACCACCCCCTCTCCATCCCCCTCATCCTCCCCATCATCAGCTCCTACCTCGACCCCCATCCTATATTCCTTCCTCCCCATCTCTCCTTCCTCCTTCTCACCCACCATCACCTCTATGAAACCCACCACCTGCCGCCTCGACCCCCTCCCCACCAACTTGCTGGTCACCCAGCTCCCCCTCCTCTGCCCACTACTGGCTGATGTCATCAACCAGTCCCTCTCCTCTGGATCAGTCACTGCCCCCCCTCAAAACTGCTGTCATCACCCCCCTCCTCAAACCTTCCCTAGATACCTCAAACCCAACCACTACCGCCCTATCTCTAAACCTGCCCTTCCTCGCAAAGGTCCTAGAGCATGTTGTTGCAAATCAATGCGCACACATCTCCCCCCACTCCGTCTTCGAACCCCTCCAATCCGGTTTCCGCTCTGCCCACAATACAGAGACTGCGCCTGTGAAAGTCACAAACGACATCCTCTCTATCTGTGACCAGGGCTCCCTCTGCCTCCTTGTCCTCCTGGACCTTTCCACTGCATTCGACACAGTCGATCACGCCATCCTCCTCCACCGCCTTTCCTCCATCATCCACCTCAGTGGGACCGCACTCGCCTGGTTCGAGTCCTACCTCACAAACCGCCAGCAGTACATCTCACAAACGGCTTTTCCTCCCGCTCTCACCCGGTCACTTGCGGGGTACCCCAAGGATCCATCCTTGGCCCCCTCCTCTTTCTGATCTATATGCTCCCTCTTGGGGATGTCATCCGCAGACATGGGGTAACACTTCCACATGTACGCGGACGACACCCAACTCTATTTTTCTGCCTCTCTTTGCGACCCCCAGTCCCCTGATGTTCTGTCAGCCTGCCTGTCAGACCTCAAGAGCTGGATGAGCGCAAATTTCCTTCAGCTGAACGTTGATAAGACGGAAGCCATACTCTTCGGCTCTCGTCAACGTCTAAAATCTCATGGTTCTCACCTCCTCCACCTACCCGACCTCCCCCTAAAACTCTCCGAACCCGTACGCAACCTGGGCGTCAGGTTCGACCCCCAATTATCCTTCCTTTCCCACATCCGGTCCCTCACCAGCACCGCTTTCTTCCACCTCCAATGGATCACTAAAACCCTGGTCCATGCTTTTGCCACCTCTCGGCTGGACTATTCAAACTCCCTCCTCGCCAGCCTTCCCTCCAATATCATCCATAAAATCCAGATTATACAAAACTCTGCCGGCCGCGTTCTTACCCGCACGAAACTCTGCTCCCCGATTACCCCAATCCTTGCCAGACTGAATTGACTTCAAGATCCTCACCCTTGTCTTCAAATCCCTCCATTCCTCTGTACCACCCTACCTCTCTGACCTCCTCTCTCCTCAAAACAGTGCCCGTTGCCTTCGTTCCACCGGGTCTGGCCACTTCCTCGTCCCCCGAGTCCTCCGCTCCACCCTCGGCGGCCGTGCCTTCAGCCACTATGCCCCGAGACTCTGGAACTCCCTTCACCTCGACCCCTCTCTTCCTATTTTCAGGTCTCGGCTGAAGACCTTTCTTTTCGACTGCGCCTTTGGTCACCTTCCTCCCCCTCCCCCTGGCTTGGCCCCGGGATCCGTTACTGTGAAGCGCTCTGAGGCGCCGTCCGGCGTGGATGGTGCTATATAAATCCAAGTTGTTGTTGTTGATGTGTGGGATGTGACACAGGCCCTTAGGCATCTGTGTGAAGCATTTTGAGGCATTCTCTTGTAAGGCATGTATTAACATGAGTCAGTTGCTAACACTGGATGCTTTAGCATTAACAGCCACAAGATCTCATTTGGGAATCACACGCCATGTGGTACAAGGCCCTCCTTTGCCTCCTTCAAAGCATCAGCATCCAAGGCTGCACTTTCCACCTCTCAAAGCCGGTCAGGAACCTCTGTGTTCTGTTCGACCCTGAGCTGTCCTTTCTTCCTCATATCCGCGCCACAACTGGCACCGCCTTCCATCACCTCCGAAACATCGCCAGACTACGGCACTACCTCACCCCTCACGCTGCTGAAACTCTGATCCACGCCTTTATCACCTCAAGGCTGGACTATGGGAACTCTCTCCTCGCCGGCCTTCCCGGCACCTCCCTCCACACTGCAGGTCATTCAGAACTCTGCAGCTCGTATACTGTCCCGCACCAGACACCGCGACCACATCACTCCCACCCTCGCTCCCCTCCACTGGCTCCCCATCCCCAGAGGATCGAATTCAAGATCCTCACCCTCACCTACAAGGCCATTCACGGCCTCACTCCCTTCTACCTCTCCGACCTACTATCCCCCTACCTACCTGCCCGTACCCTCCGTTCCTCTGGCTCCGGTCTGCTCCACATCCCCCGCCCCAACCGCCCTACCATCGGTGGCCGGGCCTTCAGCCTCTCAGCCCCTAGGCTCTGGAACTCTATCCCCCAGTGCCTTCGCCGCCTCCTCCCTTTCCTCTTCAAGGCCGGTCTCAAGACCTTTCTCTTCGATCGTGCCTTCAGTTCCCCTCTCGGCTCTCTACCCCCTCCTCGCTCCCTCCCTTCCCTCCCCTCACCCTGACCATTTCCCCCCTGCTCGGGTCCTGACCGACCCAACTGTCCAGCTGCGTTAATCCCTTGTTAACTTGTGCCTTTGCGTTTGTGGCATCTCCCAGGCTGATCGAGTTTGCGCCGCAGTACTACCTGAGCAACCTGCCAGCCAGCGAGAGCCGAGACCTACTGGCGGAGCTTCGAGACAGAGTGACGGGTGGGGAAAGGCCAGCGGAGAGTGAGGCAGAGGAAAGAGCGAAGGAAGAGGAAGAAAACACAGAGGAGGGTGAAAATGAGGAGCTATGTCTGCTTCAGTGAGAGAGAGGATGGGAGAGAAGTGCAGACAGACTTCTGGCTCCTCACACCTATCCTATACATATGACATTATATATTAATTACATGTTCGTGATGGCAATTCACTCCATCGTATCCTGAAGAGCTCAGCCCTATGGGGAAATAGGCATAAAAACCAAATTGGGCTTTAATCCAGTTTAACCCTCCACTTAACCCTCCGCCTGTCTTTGCCTGTGATTTAGTTTCAGAAAATGGCCCCAGGAAAGACATGGGAAGTTGTGTGGGGAGGAGGAGGAAGGCTGGTGGAAGTTGACTGTGTGATGTGAGTTAATGTGCTGTTTTCTGTTCACCATTCACCTTTCGGAGTGGGTTTGGATGTTTGGGCTGGTAGGACGGGGACGGGAGCCGCTGATTGTGATGTGAAATGAAGGGAAGCAGTAATCCACAGCATCTGACACCACAGGGCAATGGTGCGGGAGCTGGTGCAACCTGGATGCTCTTGAAAGGTGACCAGGAATCATTGAGATGAAGCAGTCAATGCCACCACCCCCGCAGTCCCACCACCCACCCAGGAGTTAAGAGATTTTGGTACAAACCATGGAGTGCAACATCTCAGAACTTTCCAATGTGTGTCTGAAAGTACGTCTGCCGAATAGCAGGGGAAATCTGAGAGTGAGGTGTTCATTCAATCCCACTGCCCTATCCCCACATCCCTTCAAGTTGTTATGCTTCATGTACCTGTCTACTTCCCTATTGAAACCCACAATGAACTCTGCCTCTACCACCTTCATAGAATCAAAGTCAACTCCAAGGGAAACCTCTCAACTCTGTGTGTCTGTGTGTGTGGGTGGGGGGGAAGACGTCTTAAATCCAATCTCAAATTCTAAACAAAACCCCCACCATAATCTCCCAGTGAATCTACACTGCACTTTTTTTGCTAATTGAGCAAAGTTGATTCCTGGAATGCAGCCCATCAGGATAAGATTGTGTTTACACTACTGACTGCAGTTTATGACAATGTTTTTCCCCTCTTCTCTCTTTCTCTCCTCTCTCTTCTCTCTTTATCTTTTCTCTCTCTCTCTCTCTGATTGAGAATGTTGTGGCTACCGTGGGGTGGTTTTACTTTGCGTGTTGTATACTTTGACGAGTATAGGCAACGCTGAATGGGTGAACCGCCCACCCCCCACACGTTTCATTCAAGTTTCAATCCACAACGCCTTCAGCGTTACAATGAGACATCGGAACTCCTGCAATGCCTCCTACCACTTGTTGAAAGGAATTTCCGAACATTTTATTACAACAATTTGAATAAGGGATATTTTAAAAGAACATAACATTATTCCTTGCTCAGAGTCTCAACACGAAGAGCACTGTCTACACATGTGTAAATTGTTCTGCATAGTGCGTGTCCTCTCCAGCATCAGGCTCTGACCTATCACCCCCATCCTTGCCCGTCACCACTGGCTCCCTATCCCCCAGAGGATAGTTCAAAATCCTCATCCTCGCTTTCAAAGCCCTCCATGGCCTTGCTCCTTCCACCCCGTCTTGTAGAATTGCAGAACTTTTAATTTATGTGCCAACTTTTGATCTAATATTTTGCATTTTTTTTCCTTAAGCAAAGAAAAAATTGCAGCGTAATAGCTTGAAGGGATTGAATCATGAAGATACTTCATAAAGGCAAAAGATTGCACTATTGTTTGCCCGCTTGCCACTTTCTGTGCGCTTCACAAAGGAAGTGACATTGGGGGCACTCCAAGGAAGTGACGTCAGAGACAAATCCTGAAGTCAACCATTTTTTCCGCACGTTTCGATGAGAAATTTCCCCCAGTAAAAACTGTGCTGCCCTGTGACAAGGTCAGTTAGTAGATTAGCCCCGGATTTGGAGGGGGAAAGACCTTGAAAAAAAATGGCCTGAAATAGTGAGCTGGTTTCATGACTTAGGTGCCAACTTGAGGTGAGGATCAACCATAGCTTTTAATTTTACAATCAAACTTGACACTTTTCAAAGAGGGGGAGGGGGGGAAAGACGGGTTTCCTGGACATTACAGATCCCATTCTTGACAGCATTTTTTTTTTAATTCTGTGCACTCAAAATTGCCTATTGGTGACCTGCGCTCGTCACTTCCTGTGCGCTTCACAAAGGAAGTGACGTCAGGAGGACGCCTTGCGCACAATGCGCAATAAGTGACATCAGTGACTACCTTGAAGTCAGACCCCCCCCCCCACGTTATGTTCCAATATTGCACAGCCTATTTTGCCTGCCTTCCTCATGGGGAGTCTTGTTTTAGTTAACTGCCCGGACATGCACTCCGGCCAAAAATACTTTCTCATTTGATTGAGACGTGGGAACATCTCGCAAGTGAAAGCGAATAATTTTACTTAACGGGAAGGAGTGTTGTGTGGAAGGAGAAAGGAGGGGGAGAGAGAAGAGAGAAGGGAGGAAGCTCCAACATTGCACAGTTGCTTTGCACACACTATTAACTTTTTTTTAAAAGAATGGGTATTTCCTCCTTTTGTGATCATGCACCAGTACAAATTGTACAAACTGTAAAACTTGTGATTTTTGTGGGTATAATAGAAATTAGGGTGTTGCTGCTATATTTATTGATTTTATTCTTTGTGAGGGGGAATTTTTGTGTCACTCCTTTTCCCCTATAATAATAATTATGAATAATAATTTAAAATCCTGGATGAAATTATTCTTGTAAGTACAGGTACAGATCGAATAAGTTTGTAATGACAGAANTTTTTTTCTAAAAAAAAACAAATAAGAAAACTTGGTGCGAGACTGGAATAAAATTATTATTATTGTTGTCAATAGGACACTGACTGTTATTTAACATCAGGAAGCCGCTGTGGCAGAAATTCTGCTGGTGTTGATTTTAAATATATTTGCAAAGTATTCCCAAGATTTTAGGTTGCTTTATTCATTCGTGTGTTGGTGTGTTCATGGAGGGGTTGGGTGTATGTGGTGCAGCGACAACCAAATAAATGCCTGTTGATGTTGTGGCTGCACAAGGGAGCCCGCTCGTAATAATAGTAATCATTGCATTTGATATAGTGCCTTTTCACGTCGTTGAGACATCTCAAGGCGCTTCACAGAATATACTGTAAAGTGAATTGACTGAATATTTTGTGGGAGAAACGCGGCAGCCTATCAAACCCAGGTCCTCCACTACGCTACGATACTGCACGATAGGCCCGTCCTGCCCAGGAAGGCTGATGAACTGTGACTGGTGAGCAATGAACCCTGATATGCGAGGGTTATGTTTCTGTGATTAACACAAGCTCTAATCAATCTGAACTCCACTCCCACTGGAGCGACACGGTCTGAGCTGAAAACAATAATCAGCATATGTCTTGCCCTTGTTATATAATAATAATTCTTGCATTTGATACAGCGCCTTTTCACATTTTCGAAACGTCTCAAAGCACTTCACAGAATATGTTGAAAAGTGAATTGACTATATTTTGTGGGCGCAATGCGGCAGCCAATTGCAGAGCAGTGTCCCACAAACAGTTGTGGATTGAGTGACCAAATAATTTTTTTTAGAGGGATTATGACCCCCGGAAAGCAATTCAATATAACACCTAGAAAAGTGTCAAGGCTGTACAGAGTGTTCATAAAGTCCTGTTACCCCCATATTTACTACAGGGCACTGACCAACAACTGAAATATGGAAGAATGATGATAATTGTATTCAGAAGCACTTCATTGTATTCAGTACAAGTGTTTAGCTGTATTTAGACGTCCAGAGGGTTGGTGTGTGTGAGCCCTATTATTTTTATGACAGATAATGATCTGTTGCCATGTTCAGTGCAACATCTGTAACATGGAGAGAGTGAGGAGGAAGTTACTGGTGGTAAATTGTTACACCTGACTTCATCTGCAACAGAAAATAATTCATATTTTTAAAAAAAGCAAAATGGTTTACAGGACTTTGTGAACACCTTGTAGAACAAGAAGACACAGGTTTAGAGTTATAAAAGGCAATTTTAGGACAGACGTGAGGACGCTTTTTCTTTACTCAGGGTAATTGAAGACTGGAACAGGATTATCAGGAAGGGTGGTTGAGGCCAGGACATTGGGATTCATTTAAAACGCAGCTTGATGCTGCTGTGATGGGGGATGAGAGCAGATTAGTGGATGATGCGTGCAAATATCAATCATAATGATAAATCATTGTAGTTGATATAGCGACTTATAATATTGTCTAGTGCTCTGACACACTGCTGCAAGGTGTCTCAAAGCGCTTCACAGGATTTACTGTAAAGTGTGGCAGTGTGTTTTGAACACTGCAATCTGCAACTTGTGCATATCAATATCCTGTAAATGCCATGAAGTGAGTGACCAATTTTATTTGGGGAAATGTCAACCAGGTTTTTTCAAATAGTTCCATGGAAGCTTTAATGAACTGCCCTGAACAGGCAGACAAGACCTTGGTTTAATATCTTCTCCGAAGGACGACACCTCCAACAATACAGCCATTATTTTGTTAGGGCGTCAGCATGGACATTTTCGGATTGGCAGGATGTGACTAGTGGAGTGCCACAAGGATCAGTCCTTGGGCCTCAGCTATTTACCACCTACATCAACGATCCAGATGAGAACATCGAAGTTAATATATCTAAATTCACGGATGACACAAAACTAGGAGGAAGTGTCAACACAGAGGACGACATTAAAAAAATGCAGCGAGAGATAGATAGGTTAGGTGATTGGGCAGGTAGGTGGCAGATGAAGTATAATGTAGGAAAGTGTGAAGCCATCCACCTACGGTAGCAAAAACAGTAGAGCGGGTTATTTTTTAGAAGGGGAGAGATTGGAATGTGTTAGCGTCCAGAGGGACTCGGATGTCCTTGTACACCAATCACAGAGAGTTAGTCTGCGGGTGCAGCAGCAATTAGGAAGGCGAACGGTATGTTAGCATTCATTATGAAAGGATTAGAGTATAAGAGTAGGGAAGTCTTGCTGCAACTGTATAGGGCCCTGGTGAGACCACACCTGGAATACTGTGTGCAGTTTTGGTCTCCTTATTTAAGGAAGGATGTACTTGCCTTGGAGGGGCTGCAGCGTAGATTTACTTGGTTAGTGCCAGGGATGAAGGGGATGAGTTACGAGGATAGGCTGACCAATTTGGGCCTATATTCTCTAGAATTAGAGGGGATCTTGTAGAAATCTATAAGATCATCAACGGGCATGATAGAGTAGATAGTGGGAGATTGTTTCCCCTGGTTGGAGAAACTAAAACCAGGGGTTACAACCTTAAAATCAGAGGCAGCCCTTTCGCACTGAGTTGAGGAAGAACTTCTTCACTCAAAGGGTGGTGAGTGTATGGAACTCACTACCCCAAAGGGCTGTTGACGCTCAGTCCTTGAACATATTCAAGACTGAGATACATAAGATTTAAGAGATATGGGGATAAGGCAGGGTCAGGTTATTAGCTGGAGTTAGATTAGAAGATCAGCCATCATTGAATGGCGGGGCAGGGTCGAAGGGCCAAATGGTCTACTCCTGCTCCTACATGTTATGGTATGACTATATATAATGTAATCCTGGTGTTTTCTGTGAAGCGCTTTGGGACGTCCTCCTGACGTGAAAAGCGCTATATCAAATGCAAGGATTATTATTATTATTATTATTATTGATATATTGTCTTAACAGGTTATTGAGACATCTCAAAGCATTTCACAGAATATACTGTAAAGTGAATTCACTGTGTATTTTGTGGGCGAATTGAATTCAATTGAATTCAATGTGGGGACTCGAATCCACAACCTTCTGATTCACAGTCGAGGCAGAGAGCTAAATGCCTGAGCCAGGCTGACACTTTAATGTCTCCAGGGAAAAAGGAGATGCTTAAGGCGGAGTAGGAAGCTAGATAGATTCATTCCAGAGTGGGCAGGATGTGGTAAGATGCTTAAAGAGGAGATGAAGGATTGATGTCAGGAAGGAAGCAGAGACAGAGTGAAGCAAGAAGTAACACGTAGGAAATAACACGTAGGAAATCCGAAACATCGCCAGACTACGGCACTACCTCACCCCTCACGCGGTTGAAACTCTGGTCCACGCCTTTATCACCTCAAGGCTGGACTATGGGAACTCTCTCCTCGCCGGCCTTCCCGTCACCTCCCTCCACACTGCAGGTCATTCAGAACTCTGCAGCTCGTGTACTGTCCCGCACCAGGCTTCGGGACCACATCACTCCCACCCTCGCTCGCCTCCACTGGCTCCCCATCTCCCAGAGGATCGAATTCAAGATCCTCACCTACAAGGCCATTCACGGCCTACTCCCTCCTACCTCTCTGACCTACTATCCCCCTACTTACCTGCCCGTACCCCCGTTCCTCTGGCTCCGGTCTGCTCCACATCCCCCGCCCCAACCGCCCTACCATCGGTGGCCGAGCCTTCAGCCTCTCAGCCCCGAGGCTCTGGAACTCTATCCCCAGTGCCTTCGCTGCTTCCTCCCTCTCCTCCTTCAAGGCCGGTCTCAAGACCTTTCTCTTTGACCGAGCCTTCAGCTCCCCTCTCGACTCTCTACCCCCTCCTCGCTCCCTCCCTTCCCTCCCCTCACCCTGACCATTTCCCCCTCCCCGCTCCCTCCGCTCACCCTGACCATTTTNCCCCCAAGGCTCGGGTCCTGACCCAACTGTAGAGTGCCTTGGGACGTCCTCCCAACGTGAAAGGCGCTCTATAAATGGAATCTTGTTGTTGTTGTTAAGTTCTTTTTAGTTCTTTTGTTAAACAGATGTGATAACTCACGTGTCAAGACATCATCAAAATGACATTTGCAATACTTTCGAGAGCTAAACGCAGAGCTTGGCTCATCCTTGTCCTCTCGCTTCTCACTGCACCAACAGCAGCTTCCTCTTTCACCTTCCGCAGAGAGATTCCACGCTGCTCAAGCACACAGAAAGCCCCCAGTTCCTGTCACGTTGCTCTGCATTGTATCAAAGCACTTGATACAAATGTCATTTTGTTGTTGCTGTTGATACTGCTGGCTGGGCACCTGAACTAGGGGTAGGGGAGGGAAACAATAATAATAATCTTAGATTTGATTTAGCACCTCATCCCGTCGCTGAGACGTCCCAAAGCGCTTCACACAATATACCGTAAAGTGGATTGACTGTATTTTGTGGACAAAACACCACAAACAGTCATGGATTGAGTGACCAAATTATAGTTATTTTTTAAAGAATTGTTACCCCTGGAAAGCGACCACCAATCGACTAACAACCGGGTTTCTACTTACTGTTAGGTAAACAGAGGCGAGTGGAGTAAGAAAACTTGCCTAAGGTTTCAGCCTGCCCGGGAATCACACCCAGGTCCTCTTGCATGGGGAAGAAGATCACCCAATGTGCGGTCAAAGAGTTAGACCTTGAACGAGTGAGTCGAAAGGTTTCTGGGACAGAGTTCCAGAGAGCTGGATAAGAAAGGCTGAAAACCTAATGGTGGGGTGGGACAGGTGGGGGGCAATAAGCAGGTCAGTGCTCGCTGAGTGAAGGGAGCAGGTGGGTCGGGACGGTTGAAGGAGATCGCAGAGATAGGATGGTGCAAGAACGTGGAGGGATTTGAAGGTGAGAACCAGGATCCTTCTTCACGAGCATATCTTTTGGTCAGCCAGATGTCTAACGCATGTGGAAACCCATCACCATGCTTAAGAGTATCCAAACCACATTGAGAATTTCATGCATCCCACCTACACATTTATTTATTATTATTAATTATTATACACACCAGCATGTCAATTTATTATTTAATATTATATGTTGACATGGAGTAGCAATTCCCAGCAAAGCGCTGTGAGATATTTTAACGTCACAGGTGTTAAATCAAATGGCAAGATTATCATTAAATTAATTATTCAATAATAAATCCACACGGCACGAAAATGAGCTGTTCA